TATAATTAATTCATTTATATATTAGCCCATAATATTTATTTGGACCAATATATCTTGAATTTAAAATATAGTCCAAATTATTTTATGGATTTAATTCAAGTAAAATTTATATGCCTACAAATGCCCCCTACTTCAAGATTTGTCACGGTATATATTTTGTTTATCAAAGACAAGGCTAGAAGTATCTCACGTGGCATGTTGCCTTTACTGCCACATTGATCTCTACAATGACAAATTTGTATACTTGCCTTTATTCTCACGTGGCACATTTATAAGCAGCTTTTGCTTCTTTATAAAATATCCATTCTAGTATCAATTTCCAAGTTGGTCTAAGTTTGATGTCCAACATCCATTCTTAATCAGTTTTCGAGGGTACTTGCACTATGAACCATCGTTGGCAGATTACAACTCGAATTGCAATTCGATTTCAACTCGAATTGCAATTTCTGCTGCCTCATAACTGATCCCACATCGGCACTTCTCTCCCAACCATGTCTTTTGGCATCTATAAATACGGTATACTCTTCCTTCTATTAGCATCACTTTCAGCGATTACAAACCATTTTGAGTCTACTTTTGATGACTTGAAAGCATTGATGCGAAGGTAATTTCTTCTTCTTTTCTTGTGCTTTCTTCTTTGTTGTCTATTTTTTCCTTTTTTGTAGGTCAAGCGAGAAAGATATGTTCTTGTTCAACAAGATGATCCACGCATGAAGAAGACAATCTTGGGGTGTGAGGGGATGAGTACTCATCCCTGCCCAAATATCGGAGGGATTACTTTCATGGCCCGATTCTTGGAGAGATTACTCTCAAAATGGCCCGATTCTTGGATTACTCTCAAAATGGCCCGATTCTTGGAGAGATTACTCTCAAAATGGCTCGATTCTTGGAGAGATTACTCTCAAAATGGCCCGATTCTTGGAGAGATTACTCTCAACATGGCCCGATTCTTGGAGAGATTACTCTCAAAATGGCTCGATTCTTGGAGAGATTACTCTCAAAATGGCCCGATTCTTGGAGATCTTGGAGAGATTACTCTCAAAATGGCCCGATTCTTGGAGAGATTACTCTCAAAATGGCCCGATTCTCGGAGAGATTACTCTCAAAATGGCCCGATTCTTGGAGAGATTACTCTCAAAATGGCCCGATTCTTGGAGAGATTACTCTCAAAATGGCCCGATTCTTGGAGAGATTACTCTCAATGTGACCTAAACTATCGGCGAGGCCAACTTAAGGTGCAAAGGGACTCATATGTCCACCTTAAGATTGGAAAGTTATAGTTCCTTTTAAGGACAAACCCACGAAGAGGCCAACTTAAGGTGCAAAGGGACTTATATGTCCACCTTAAGATTGGAAAGTTATAAAGCTTCAACTTGAAGACGACATCGACTTGAACACTTGGAAAACTTTGAAGANGAAGGTATTTGATGCTCAAGTGGCAAGACGGCTTCGACTCCATAAACGAGTGAATAAGGAGTCGCCTGTATTGGCGTGCAGTGAGTTGTCCTATATGCCCATAGAGCTTCTTCCATACGGTCATTCCAATCTCGTTTGGATTTGGAGACGACTTTCTTTAACAAGTTGCATAGAGTCTTGTTGAATGCCTCGGCTAGACCATTGGCGGCAGCATTGTACATCGAAGAATTACGTTGTTTGAATCCAAAGAGATCACAAATCTTGTTCATCAACATATTATCAAATGGCTTTCCATTATCCGTTATTATGTAACGAGGAATGACAAAGCGATAAATAATGTTTACCCGGATGAAACTTGCAATGTTTTCCATCTTTACTTCCTTAAGAGCAACAGCTTCAGCCCATTTTGAGAAGTAGTCAGTTGCAGCCAAGATGTATAGGTGCCCACCAGAGGACTTTGGCAGTGGTCCAACAACATCCAATCCCCAAGCGTCAAATGGCCAGGATGCAACAGTCGGGTGCAACACTTCAGGAGGTTGATGAATAAAATTCGCATGGAATTGACAAGCCTTGCATCTTAGAGCGTAGTCCAAGCAATCTTTTACCATCGTTGGCCAATAATATCCCAACCTTTTTATATGGAAGTGGAGCTTTGGTCCGGACCGGTGTGATCCACATACCCCAGAATGTGCC